TTCTGTAGTGATACTGCCTTGGAAACCCAAGAAGGGGTCACTATAAGTCAGGGCCAACTTGATGGCACACAAGAACAACAATTGTAAATGGCATTAATTTTCTTATTTCTTTTTCAGCAATGTCTTTGCTGGTGTAGAGGAATCCAACTGAATTTTGGATGTTGATATTGTATTTTACCACGATGCTAAATCTCTCACTTAGTTCCAGTAGACTTTTGACTGAGTCTCTTGGGTTTTCTAGGTATAGGATCACATCATCAGCAAATAGGGATAGTTTGACTTCTTCCTTACCAATTTCGATACCTTTGATTTCCCTTTCTTGCCTTATGGCCCTGGCTAAGACTTCCAGTATATGTTGAATAGAAATGGTGATAGAGGGCATTCTTGTCTGGTTCCTATTCACAAGGGGAATGGTTTCAGTCTCTCTCCACTGACAATAATGTTGGCTGTTGGTTTTGCACAGATGCCCTTTATTATGTTGAGGAATGTCCCTTCTATTCCTATTATGCTGAGAGTTTTGATCAGGAATGGGTGTTGGATTTTATCAAATGCCTTTTCTGCATCAATTGATATGATCATGTGGTTCTTTTTCTTTATTTTATTTATGTGGTGGATGACACATATTTATGTGGTAGATGACATTGATTGTTTTTCTAATGCTGATCCATCCTTGCCTACCTGATATGAACCCCATTTGATTATAATCAATGATTTTCTTGATATGTTGTTGGAGTCTATTGGCTAGGATTTTGTTGAAGAATTTTGCATCTATATTCATGAGGGATGTTGGTCTGTGGTTTTCTTTTTGAATGATGTCTTTGCCTGGTTTTGGTATCAAGGTTACACTTGCTTCATAAAATGAGTTAGGGAGGATTCACTCCTTTTCTTTGTTTTGGAATAATTTGAGTAAGATTGGTGTCAGTTCTTTCTGAATGTTTGGTAGAATTCTCCGGAGAAACTGTCTGGGCCAGGACTTCTTTTAGTTGGTAACTTTTTTATGACCTGTTCAATTTCTTCTTTTGTTTTGGATTTGTTCAACTTTTCCACATCAGTCTTTGTTAGTTTAGGTAAGTGGTGTGCTTTAGAAATCTGTCCATTTCTTCCAGATTTTCAAATTTGTTGGAGTACAGTTCTTCATAGT